GCCATACGTCATTGCTGGGCGTATTAATTGTTTATAAATTAACATTTTGTTTTCAAGTGAGATTTTAGAGCGGAGTAGTTGTCTTWGCTTGTGCAGACGGAGATTTAAGGATTTTCGTTTTAGTTTTATATGCGTTGCCCAGGTCAGTCTTTTATCTAGATGGAGACCGAGGTATTTGCAGACTGATGTGCCCATAGGGATTATTTTGKTATTGAGATAAACGGGGGGAATATTTTTTGGGCTGAGGGTAAAGGTAATATGAGTGGATTTGCTTTCATTTATTTTTATTCTCCATAAGTTGAACCAGTTTTGTAAGTTATAGTTAGGTGGTCTTGGAGGTTATTTATGGCAGAGTCTAAGTTAGGACTGGATKAGGTTATTGCAGTATCGTCTGCAAAAGTAGKYAGCTAAGTTGGTGTTATTTGATTGAGGTAGATCAGCTGTATATATATTGAACAATGTAGATGSGAGAATGCTGCCTTGAGGKACGCCTGCTCTTATAGGATGAGTATTAGAATACTCTTCCTCACATCGTACTACGAAGGAGCGGTTTGTGAGGAAAGATTTTAAGGTTAGGTTAAATATTAAAATGTGATATAATTTTTTTCGATAAATGTAACAACGGGTAATTATTTAAAAATATATAAATAATAAAAAAATAAATATAGCAGTACCTATAAATAATTTAATAAAAAATAAATAGTTATATTAAACACTAGATAAACTATTTGTACCATATAAAAAAATTACATAAACAAATCTTTCTAAAACGACTGATAGTACCTTCCAACAATAAATATTCAAAAAATATTGTTGTTTTTCAAAAATAATCAAAGAACATGAAAATAATCTTTGATAGGTATATAAATAAAAAATTGTTATCGTTTTTTGTATTTATATAAGATTAAAACCTAATAAATATTTAAAAAAAAAACCATTCAAGCCACATACAAGGTAATACGATATTATTGTTTTATTTTATTGGCAAATGTCAAGATTAAAAAAAATTATAAAGGTAAGTCTCAAAATTAAAATCATAATAATAATTAAAACTAAAAATAAATATTAAGTATTATTAACAGCAGTTATGATATATAATAATTAATAACCAACAAATCCGACTATAAATGTATGAGTAATGACTACCTAGAACCCATAATAAATTTTAATAAAAACCGTAAAAAGCCATATTTTAATTTTTTTTTTTTTTTAAATAGTGTTAAAGCAATCAAATGTATTATTTAAAGTTATTTAAAGTTCCTTGAAATCAATATTTAATTTAATTTCATAGTTTTGTCGTTTCGTGTATCTGATTTTAGAAGTTAATCTATTATTACTGTTAAATTGATTTTAAATTTGTCTTTTTAAAYACTACTATCATTTAATATTATACTGTGCCTATAATTGAATTAAATATCATCACTTGTTGTTTAATAGATAAATTATATTTAATTTAAAGGGATAACGACTTTATAAAAAAAGTATGTATATAGCCTTATAAGTTACCTACCCATAAAGTTTAAATGTATGTGATACGATAATATTTTTATTTTACTCTTTCAATTATACTGTTAAGYTACGGTCATCCAATACAGGTACTCACTATCTAGCGATTTTGGCTTATTGTGACTTTACTATGATCCAAAAACATAATATAATAATATCTAAATCAAGTCTAGGGAAATGACTGCTCTGCAGCGGACGCCGCGCCGGCCGTCTGGGTGTTGTGTACGACTCGCGGTAGCGCGCAATAATTATAGTGTTTATACTATATCGCTATATATAATACCTATGGCCATAGTGTTCATAATATAATATCATTATAATATATTGTACAGACGTCGAGTGCGGGTGCGGCGCATAGACGTTTGATGGCGACGACTATGACTACGACTAGGGGACCCGTCATCAGCAGTATAACCCGTAATTATTATCGTTTTGTGTTGTCCTTGATGTCTGTGCGAGGCGCAATGTCAGCAGCTGCTGTTCGACTCTGATAACGACACAAAACTGTATACACACGTATAATATATATATATTGTAAGCTCGGGACTGAAAGGGTTGTGACGTGTTCGCTGAAATGTCAATGACTTCGTTGGAGGTCGATAGTAAGAATTAGTGCAAAAAAAAAACGATTACCCGTGATACTGGCCTAAACGAATTTGCGCAAGTTGAGCGTTTGTATGCAGCACGCGTACGCATAACATGCGTTTACCTCGATGTTTAGATAATCATATACCTATAATTATGTTCCCTACCGAAAAGTTTGATCGGAATGATAAAAGTGTAAATTGTGTTTTATATATAATATATTATTATTATACTATTTAGGTACCTCTGTACTTCTGTATATATTTTATATAATTTATATATATCTACAGTTATTTATAAATATCTATATTGTACCAATATTACAATAATTTAATATATTATTTGTATCTATATGATGAAATCACATAGCTAGGTATGTAGTGGATAATATAATAATAATAATCGTCTATATTTGCATTTATGTATGTGTTTATGGAGTACCTATGGGTGATARAAGAATGGTAATCGGCGGAAACGACAACAATAAACGTGCGGCTCGGCAAAGCTGGGCACCGACCTGTGGATTCACCCGCACATCGTTTGTTTGTGTCTGTTAGTTTTTTTTCGCTTATCAAGAACGTACGAGGAAAATGATTTTGACATAACATAATTATGCATCACGAGCCTAACATATAGTCTAATATTGAAATTTAAAATAAAAGATTTAAAAAATATATTAACTTTATAGTTGGAGATATTATATACTCAATGCTACTCCATTTTATAATACAATGAAACCTACCTTAACGGATACCAGTATACCAATAAGTAGTGAACGCATTTTTGGGAATGAACTTCTACCTTTTTACAAACTGAACCCATCTAAGTTTGGTTAGCGGGCAAAAGTTTAGCACCAGAGTGTCTGATAATTAAAGCTTTCTCTGTATCATTCAAAAATGATGGTATTAGATATAAGATTATGTATAAAACTATACCTTAACCAGGATACTAATATAAATAAAATTATTTAKTTTTTATCGGTGCAATTGGAATTGGCTCTTCAATACAGGTAGTCAATATTTTACCCTTACTAAGTACCTTTGAATTGGCTCCCAAGAATTTACTGTTGAATTGGCTCCCTATCGTTTTTTTTTTTAAAATTTATTGGTTGCCAAAATGTTAATAATTTAAAGTACGTATAATTCGTAATTCGTATATTTTACATCGTTAAACAAAATTAAATTAAAAAATTAAAAAACAGACAATATTTTACCTAAGTGCGTCATTATAAAATTTATCTATATTATATAAATTAAAAAAATAAAAATCAGACAGTATTTTACCAAAATGCGTCATTATAAAATTTATATATACAAATTAATAAGTTAAATAAAAATATTATATTAGACTTTTTTTCGGGATCTATACTTATTGGTCAATATTTTTATGTATGGAAACCTCGAACTTACACCAGTATCATATTTAATAATTTAATTTTCTAAAAATTTTATTTTAACTCTAATTTCTTTCCTGTGTGGTTTTGTTGTATTGGAACTCTTTATAATAATTTTTGTATCAGATTGAATACTATATAATATATTTAGAAAGAAGTTGAATATATTTGGATTTTACGTCGTAAAAGTAAACGCCTATAATATGAGAAGCCCTGGTTAAAAAATAATATTTAACAATTTAAGGAGCCAAATTCAAATATACATTTTTCAGGAGCCAATTCAAGGATCGAATTTATATTTACCCCAAATTGGGAGCCAATTCAATGGTAGTCGTTTTTATCAACTCAATAACTTGATTATATATATATTTTTTAATTTTTGTGATTTTGTGKTGTGTGGACAATTTATTTTGTCTGTATGATTCTTACTAATACATAACATAAATATCAGGTTATATTATAATAATCCTCAACTAGAATTTCCATATAGACGAAAAAAATGTTATTGTATTTAAATTATAATAATTTTAACTAAACATTTGACATAATATACAAGTTCAGTGTAACAAAAATTAGATGTGGAATATTAGTCGAAATATTATAATGCTATAAATTAGCTACTATAGTAAGTATTAATACCTTAAAAAATTGTATAACCTATAGCCGTAAAATAAGGAATTTGAACAACRAATATTTATCTTGTAAAAAGGAAAATAAATAACCTGTGTAGAAAATCATAAGATTTTGAACAGTTGCCACTTGGTATTGAGTTAATTAAATAATGTTTGTACTGCARCAATGATAATCAAAATATACAACAGTGTTAACTCCGTGGGAAAATATTAATTCAGTTTTAGGCTTATTTATATGTATTTGTTTTTTTTTTTTTTAATAATACGAAAACAGTTCAGTGTCACGATGAACTTAATGGTGTGAGTATAATACTATATATATGTTTACATATTATACAACGTTTGACCGTGGGATATTATGAAAACGAGAGGAAAGGAAGTGTGTTTACAGGCTACAGCAACCACCGTCSGAAAATATTGTAAACGTGCACGCAAAGCTTGCTGCGTAGTCAAGGAGATGATATTTTTTCAAATTTTTCTTACACGTTCTATCTAACTTCAACAATAATGTATTATTATTATATTATTTAGAGCTTAAGTTATTTATTAAAATATCCCTACTATAGGTATATTATAGATTACAATCAAAGTTTGTTTGAAATTTAAATAAATATTATCGACTTAAAATTTTAGTAGTTTGATAAGAATAGAGTTAATATTAATCGAAGAAAATATGCGAATTTACCCTGTAAAATCTAATTTGAAAAAATTCATTTCCGGCGTTTACTTGCGTTAAAGTCACTTGGTTGGCGTGGTGGATCATAATGTGTCGTTGATATAATAACATTTTATTGGTTGTTAATATAATAATATCGCATACCGTGGGTCACAGGTAGGTGTTTAATAATATAATATATAGACAATATAGGTATATAGTTACTTACCAAAAGCAGTGAGTSGAAGCGCGTTCCGGGGTAGGTCCCGTGTCCCGAAGCTGAAGTTATAGCTGATGCTTACACGAACGCACACTCTCTACGGATGCGCCCACGAAATCGGTCGACGAYGACGAGGGTGATAATATTATGTTATTCTATACAACTTTACTGACGAACAACGCACGTCTTTGTAAACGGTTAATGATTTATGTTATAGGTATAATATGATATTATAATTATCGTATTGACTACGGTGTGGCACGGCGAAATCGGCGATTTACGAATAATAATAATAAGAACGACGATAAATTAATAAATATTTTAATATTATTGTTTAATTCGTAAATGGAATTAATATTCGAAATCCGGTCGAGTGGTCCGAAGGGCTAGGGCGTCGATGCGCACGGGTGCGGAGAAGCAAGCCGGGTGAGAAAAAAAAAATTACGATAAGTCAATCGAAGCACAAACACCGCACACGCACACACACACTTACACACACCGGCGAGATCGCAAGCTCTCTATATGGTCTACCGATGGTGCGTCACGACCGTCGTCCGCCGTGCTCGCTGGTTAGGCACTGCTACTATGCGCGTGGAGGTACCGGTCTGTACTATGGTCCACTGGCAAACCAAACGCTCGGAACACCGTCTCCCCCGCCGCCGTCACAAGGGCCTCACGCCATTGGCCCGGAGCCGGGGCCGCCCGCAACAGGTGCCACACGCGCGTACACACAAACACACACACACACACACACACACACGCTCTGGCGCGCGCATTTACCTGTCGGCTACACACGCACACGCGGCTACATGTTGCCCCTCTCCCCCCTCATATCATTGCTAATGTTTCAGGTCTATAGGGGAGTGGGGATGCGGTATTGGCGGCGGCGGGGGGACGACGACGACGACGACTTTATTGCCGCCCGCGTCTTTTTAGTCATTTCCCGCCACAGTATAAGTTTCACCATAATAATAATAACGATAATATAATATATTTATACGTCCTACCATCAATATTACGCACGCTACACTGTTATATTATTTATTATTATTATTACTATACTTGCCATACGAGCACTGCAGAACACAACATTTACCCACCTCACGCCTGGCGTACACCGTGCCGTGGTCATCGTGCTGCAGCACTGCAAGTAATTCGCGCGAGAACTATGACTAAAGCGCCGTCATAACTTTTATACAGTATGATATTATATTATAATATGACGTATGCTGGAGTGCAAGTATTATAATACCGTCTTTTTGCCTCTGTTTATAGGTATGTCCAATTATTATATAACTATATAATATATAATGTTAATCGCAGTAGGTATTTAAAATATTGTATTTCTCTACAATATGTATAAAATTAGAATAATATAACATAACACTTGTAAGATTTATTTTAATTTAATTTTTAATAAATAATATTTTGGTTTTCTAAACAATTTACCTGTTCGATTAATTTTTTTTAAAATTAAAATTATACATAATTAGATATTAAAGGCCTATCTTATTTTGATCTCCAAAAATATACAAAATATTGATGCATTGTGTGAGTAGAATAGTTATTGTTTTTCATAAAAATCGAACAATAGCAAAACATATATTCGGCATTTAATTAACTTCGACTACCTATTAAATATGCATTTAGCTTATGAATTATGATTAATGCCTTTATGCATAGTATATTATACACCTGTTATAGAAGCTTGCATATATGTATTTATGTACATTGTTTTAATTTGGGTTTTGATTTTTTGTACAACGCTGTGTGAATTACACACTAATGAGAATTAAAAATAATAAGTACTTGCCTATATGTATATGAATATTAATTTATTTTTAAACTACAGTATTTTTCATTCAAAATCCGATAAAAAATTTGATTATTAAATCATTTAAACTGATGGTTGGTTAACATTATTTGTTCACACAAATTACATAATATATTATAGTATAAAAATTATAAATTAAATTTTGTTTTTTATTTTTATAAGAAATTTACTATCTGTTCTTAGCTAGAACAATAAGCAAATGTGGACAAAGTAATTACATGTGAATTTTTTGAGGAAAGATGCCACCCATTAGTAACATTACCTATTTCGAGTTTTTTTTAGAGCTAATTAAATTTTAGATAGAATGTCACGCATCATCTTCGCTTAAGCCGTATTGGGGGTTACCTCGAATGGACGAGGTAGAAAAATCTTTTTTTAAGAGGATTATTAGAATGGAGAGGTAGTTTGGTGTGAAATCTTTTGTTATAACATCTCGCTTCATCAAATACTGTTGCTATTTTTAGGTTATTATGGAGTGTAAGATTGAAAACAAAGTGAGAGCATTTGTTATTTTTCTTTGGGAAATTTTTTTAAAAGTTAGATTTTTTTGCACTACCCCAGAGCTGGACCCCGTAGGTCCGATTTAGATATTACTAGAGAAGTTCTGAGTACCCGGCAATTACTCGATGGCATGGTATTCGATATCATATTTATTTTAAGAGGACGCCACACTCGCATGTGTAGTCTACGTCGTACAAGTACGCATAACAAATTTTACGCTCAGCAGATAACGTTTATCTCGGTTAGTTTAAAATTTGTTATGTTACGCACTTGTACGACGATGACGACACATGCGGATATGGCGTCCTCTTAAGACTCGGCTCCTATTCGGTACCCGGCCTTTTCTCGGTACTCTACGAAATACTAAATTTTTACTCAACTCATATCCGGTAACTGGCAAACGGTGATATATTCTGTACTTACAAAATATATACATACCTGTAATTAATTTAATGGGAAAAATCTAAAATTTTAGATAAATTAATAATAATTTATTTTGGTACATATTGGAGTAACTAAATCGATTTACTCGGCCAATACTCGATATCGGGTTATAGTATTAAAATTGTTACTCGGTACACGGTTTATAACAAATTCACTACACGGAGCATCTCTAGTTATTACAGCAAAGTTTAATAGTTGTATCTATACTGTTTCATATATTGTAATTGTTCAACAAAACAAGTTTTAATACCTATACACGAATATCTAACATGGAACATTTCTGACAGGTATAAAAATTAACTTTTAAGTCACTAGGTATATTGTACATGCCGCACAAGGGATTGGAACATGTATAGCCTTCGTTTTGGTGCCGTAAATTTGATTTGTCAAAACGTTATACCTATTAATTATGGATACCCTAGCAGGTATCAGATAATAATATAATATTTTTATTTATTTAATATTCTTCTGTTTCTTATTTTATATACTATTATAGGCATTCGTATACACATATATAATAAAATTATATATATATATGATATATTATTAAAATGCATTGCTGACAGAAAGGGAAAATAAAAATATATAAAAAAAAACAACACGTCCTGTTTCCGAGTCTTGAGCGTTTTCCACTCGACTGCACTGCGAGTGCTCAGTATATAGACTGCACTATACATATTAAATACTTGACTACTAGTTGGTGTTATCCTGTTACTTTGTAGATATATATTATAGTTGACCGAGACATAATATGTTATGCAATTATTATATTACTGCATCGGGGTGTAGATATACTCATGCAGGCCTATACATGAGATTATTGTGATATGTTTGCCGTAAAAATAACAATAATATTATTTTTGTTATTTTCATTCTCACGCGAACACGACGGGCCACGAATATATAGACCTATGTAGAGCATCGTGTTGTAGATTTATATATTAAATAATTTTATATACCTAATATGTATATAGTTTATTGTTAAAACCCGGCAGTGTACACAATGTTTATCTCGTTTCTTTGGGAAAAAAACAATGTGACCGCACCCTACACTCTACAGACATTTACCTACTTATAGTATTTCAAATTTTAAATAATATCAATTAGACTTAGTGTATACATCATATCATACTATAAAAACGCAATGATGATGATGATGATGATGATGATAGGTACACGACTATCATAATATAACTAATATATTATGTTTTTCAAATGAGTTCTGACCGCATTCATCTATACTATACCTACAATAAAATAATTTTTACTATTGCTTACCTTAATGTATTGTTGGCACTAACACACGCCGTATAATGTTGGTTGTATTATCAATAAAATATAATTTGTTCATAGTTTTCTTTTTAAAGTACTTTATAAATAACCATATAACCATTAACTAGGTATATAGGACTCGTATGTAAAGTTTGCTGTGAATTTTTAACTGCAGAGCATAATGATATGTATATAGGTATCTTCAGATAATAAATTACAACATATACATTTTTACCCGTATACCGCCATCATACACATATTCAAAACTGAGATGCTATTATATAGATGCATACTTAATAAGTAATATTACATTCTAACTTCCGGTAGAGACGTTATAGTTTAGGTACCAATCGGTTACCACATAAAAATAATGATAAGTATCAATTTGAATCACAATAAACATGTAGTATGTATAAATATGTAAAACTACTGGGCCGCGTGCATTGCTGCAGAAGACATTTTTACCGCAGGACATATGCAACTATATATAGTAGGTACTTGAGTAAAAGTATTCAAATACTTTATACCTACTCAAATACAGGATTCCGTTCAAGGTTGAGCATGAGCTTCTTATACCTTCTTTTGAAAAAAAACATCGATCAACTGAATCCTCTTATTTAAATCTACTGTAAATATGGACTTAAGCATTTATACTCCGAACTTCAGAATAAAAAACAGATAATAGTTATGTTCAGAATCTCACTCGCCAATATAAGTACTTAGTACTTACCTACACTTACTAAACTTTGCTGCAGTTTAATGTCGGGCGCAAGAGCTATAAATAAATTGATAAAATAATTTGTAGTTTATTTATTATAACATTATCTTATGACTAAATTTTGCTACCAATTAAATATACGAGTACAATAGGTGCTTATGATCTTTAATCTTAACAATAACAATACAATATTCTTACAATTATATTATGGAAAAGTATAATATATTTATATATATACAGTATATTTAAAAATTTACATCTAAGAAATCCAGCAATAACATAGGTATATATATTTTACTAAGTTCACATACTTACAATACATACTTACTTCACATTAATACAGGTAATATTATCTTATAAATATTTATAATATAACAATAAATTTGATCTTAATAAAATATGTATTATTGTAGAGTATATGCATCTATAAATCCACAAAATCAACATGGTTAACTATCTATTACGTACTTATAATACGAAATTGCCATATTTTAGATTCTGAGCAGAGCGAATGTATTGATTTTACTATGATGTRCGTTTTTTTTTGTGTGTGTCATCACGTTTTGGGACAGTAAAAGTGCTTCGATTTTCGACTTCAGTACCTCATTTAATCAGAAAATGAATCTTGTTGGTACTTTGGGGGTCAAAAGTAAAATATTCTCAATATAATCGGGATGATGACAAACTAAAAATTAAGGAAAAAACGGGAATTTTTACGCACAATTAATTTTCGACAAAGTCAATTTTGGTTTTTGATGTAACTTTAAAACAAATGACCATCATAAATACATGAAATTTTCACCGAATGTTTATATAAATATATTCTATC